CTCCCCTCTTCCAGCCAGATAAACCTATAAGGTCCATGACCAGCAAGACATACTGGGACTCTGGCGAATGACTGGGGTCCCCTCCTCCGCCCTAGCACTTGGGGGCAGCTCCTCTGCACCCCCCCATGCCCTGTGCACCCCCCCATGCCCTGTCTGAGCCCCTCTGCCCGGCCTGATCCGGACCCTGCGGGCGCTCAGCTGGGCAGCACTGGGGACGGCTGGCATAGCGCAGGCGATACCAGAGCCAGGTGGGACCCCGCAAGAGCGTCCAGCCCGCCTCTCCCCCTCCCAACCTCCATGCCCACCTGGACTGCAGGCGTTTGCGCCGGGCGCCGGGCCAGGAAGGTGCGTCTCTCTCGCCAGCCCCGCCCCGCCCCATGTCGTCGTCGTGTGAATGCCGGGCTGGCCAGCGTAAAAGACGGCCAGGGCCTCCGCTCTCGAGCCGGGAGGGGGGGCGAGTGGGCGGGCGGCTGGCGCCGAAGGGGTGGGGAGCGGGTCAGGAGGCAGCAGAAGGTGCTGAAAGGCGTCCAGGACACAGCAGACCGGCCTGAGAGGTGGGGAAGGCGGGCGAGGGAGCCGTCAGCCAACTTGCACTTTAGGCAGGGGCAGAGAGCTGCGAGTGCGAGCGCGCCCCCCCAGATGTTGCGCCCGGTGCGGCCGGCCCCCCCTGCACCCCCCACGCTACGCCTCTGGGATAAATAAACAACATGGCGACTGCTTTAGAAAGAAGGTTGCAGTTTATTGAAGAGCCAGACCGAAAGATGGTTCTAGCAGGAAAGAGGAGAGAAAAAGAGGGCTGAGCACATGTGGCAAGTAGGTTTTTATACCCACTGAAGCCTTTTGTTTTGGAATAGTTTCCTGTTCCTGTGTTGAGACTTTGTATTTCCTGTGTCACGTATTCTGACCTGAGTCTGAGTGTGCCTTTCTGGTATTCTTTTTTTTTTTAAAGTTTTTTATTTATAATACAGTTAAAACAAAAATGGACGAACGTAACATTCTAGTATACGTATTTCTAGCAATTTGTTCCTCTTCATACATATAGTTCTTAATCTCTATATATACATACATATTTTTCTATACAATACAATATCTAATTTATTTCTCTATATACTAACATACAATTATATATATTTCTATCTTAACATTAGCTTATAACCCGAACAGTCCCCCTTGATTCACACCAATAATAAAATTTGTCCCAGATTTCAAAATAATCTGACTCTGTCTTGTCCTTCATTTCCATTGTGAGCCTGTCCATATCGGCACACGATAAAATTTTGTTTAAAATCTCTTCTTCTGTTGGAGTTTCTTTATTCCTCCAATTTTGTGCATATGCCAGTCTAGCAGCTGTGAAAATGTGTAACATCAGGTAAAATATCCCTTTATCGTATTTCTGTGTAGAACATTTTGTAGAGATTTTCTTTATAGGAGGTGGCCAAAGTGAGCTTCCTATTTCTTGCCCATAATTCTTGCCAGATGTGCAGATCAAAGTTGAGATCAAGACCCTGCTCCACGTTAACATGAGCATAAAAGCTAGGCATAAAAATAGAATCGACAGGGCTGGACAAAATATTATTAGGAACTGAGGACAAAATGATTAAAAAACTTTATTACTATCTGTTAGACCTTTCTGATATTATTGGTGGTGGGTTAGTCTTATTATGTCCCAAGGGTTATATCCTGCTTCCCTGGTGTTGGAGCTAATGACTCTTAGATTTTGGGTGGGGTATGCAGATTTTAGGTGTCTTTGTCTTCTTGATCTCCTAGCTGGGGCCTTTCTGATGGTTTACATCTGCATTTGTACAGGGCTGGCTTCTGCTTGGGGGAGGGAGATCTGGGGCTAACAAGGAAAACTGGGCATGCTTTTCTGTCTCTTTAAGATCCTTGGAGGAAATATATTTTTCTGCCCTTTTAATATTTCCTTCTCAGGAGAAAAATGAAGAAAAATTAGTTCCTTTGTCAGCAAAATTTTTTTTTAACACTTCATTCGTTTTAATTTGTTGTTGTTTTTTTTATCACAGGCGGGTTGGACGAGACTCTGCATCTCATAATTGACACTGCATGCGAACAGAATATTCCATTTGTTTTTGCTCTCAATCGCAAAGATCTAGGGCACTGTATGAACAAATTTGTGCCCGTTAGTGTGGTGGGAATATTCAGCTACGATGGTGCTCAGGTGAGTTGTGCACATTGTTTTCCCTCTTCTGTTAATGTGGATTTGAATTTCAGGTTTTAAAAGTCTTAATTATTAGCATTGCAACAGCTACTGCTAGCATGTAAAAAGACGCCTGTCAGTAATCCAGGGTATTTTTCTATGCCCTTAAGTAACTTGGTGCTGGCTCAAGGTTGACTCAGCTTTCCATCTTTCCATCTGTAAAATGAGGACCCAGATTATTGTTGGGGGTAATATGCTGCCTCTGCAAACCGCTTAGAGAGGGCTGTAAAGCACTGTGAAGCGGTATATAAGTCTAAGCCAGGGGTAGGCATCCTTGGCTCTTTTATGACTCGTGGACTTCAACTCCATGCTGGCTCAGGAATTCTGGGAGTTGAAGTCCACGAGTCATAAAAGAGGCAAGGTTGCCTACCCCTGGTCTAAGCGCTGTTGCTGTTGCTATTCTAGTGTTAGAGCAACACAGAATGGCTTGTTCATGATTACTTCTCAGTTACCTATAGGTTCAGTGCAAATGTCTGCAAGAAGAAAGTTTTGGCATTCACAGCTACAGGTAACTCGTGTTTATTGGATTTATATGCTGCCCATCTCACTCTCAGAAGCAATTCTTTTCAAATAAAAGTTTTTTCATTGAGTCAAGGCTCTGCGCTGAAGACATGGATTGATTAGCAAGCAGGCATTATTGCAGTGAGAAAATGGTTTTGTCTCAAATGTGTATCTGTCAGATATTCCTTTCTAATAACTATTGAGTAACATGAAGAGAATTGTGCTTGTGTCTGAAATTTCAGCAAATTACTTCCTCTTTGCTTTCCTGCACACTCCCAAACGCCTTTATGACTGTAGCAGAGTATTATTCCTAACTTGTTTGAAGAAAGAAATCAGTGCAGGTTCCCCATGCCCCAATTACTCCACATAATTCAAAACATAATATATTACAACTGTAAACAAGATGTACTGAGTAAAAACATATTAAAGAATAGGTAAGTGATTAATCCATGGCTCCTTACAAGAGAAGATATACATATTTCCCAACTGCCCCCAACTTCCCAAAGTCAGAGGAAAACAAATTAATTTTCAATTTAATTTTACTATCACCTTCCCATCTTTAGTATCACATGTTCAAATGCCTACTCAATTTGTGCATCTTTGGTGAGGATAAATTATTAAATAACCTAGGTAAATCATTTCAATACCTATGCTAATTGTATACCTCTAATACATCTTTCTTTTGCAGTATCCAACAGCGATTGCCATTGTTGATTTATTAGCATCAGTCCATTCCTTTATATTGGTGCAGCATCTGGGCTGTTTATCAAAATGACAGAATCTTTTGCTGCCTAGTTTAACTTTAGATTCCTAGATGATCAACTTATTAAAACCATTAGCATAACAAGTTGCCCTATGTTCTTATAAATAAGCCCCTATTTGTAAATACTGTGCAAGTTACTGATAAATCAAGAAGCTTCATGGCTTCAGAATTCCTAAGATGGACTTTCCCTGAAACAAAAATAAACAAACTGGTCTTACTTATCTGTACAGTTTTATTTGTATCATGCTCAGTTCATGTAAATAGTGTTTATTTCCCCATACAGTTAGGATCTTGACCACGGAGACATGCAGAGGCACTATAATAGGAATTGAATTTTTACATAGGTGTCATCGCTACAGTTTTTCTACAACAGTGTTTTGGCTTCAGTGTGCTGCACTTATAGATTCTGATTGCTGGCAGATTTTATATAATGTTACTATGTATTCTCTATTACGCAATTTTTTCAGTAGACAGTTCAAGCTCTTTAATTTCCTCTGAGTTTTATTAAATGCTATTTTCCAAAATCATCTTTGTAGTCCCTTGTGTTTGGTGTTTTAGCCTTTAAAAAAAAAAAACCAAACCCTTGATTTCCACATACCATTGAACTTGGGAACACATGACAGCTTGATACTGTTGAGCTATCTAATCCCGGAACATTGAACTATGCTGTTTTGGGATACTCGGTTATATTTTCATGAGAAAGTTCTAAAATAAATATCAATGCAAATTTCCCCTTTCTTATAAATTAGGACTACTTTCACAAAATGGTGGAATTGACAATGGAAGCAAGGATGGCCTACAAGGAGATGATTTCAGCTTTAGAGGAGGAGTCAAGTGAAGAAGTAAAACAAAGTGACTGTGCACTCCAAACCCATCAGAAAGAGAATTGTGAACTAGATGCTGCTATAGTGCCCCTTCAAGAGTCTGAAGAGGATGTCCCAAATTACAGTGAGTTTTCAGGGTCTTTGATTAAAATACGTACATTCTTTTCGGTTCATCTGTACATTTTCATTTTTAAGGTGAACAGTTTTTATGATAGCAGAGACACCACAATTCAGTGATTACAGAACGTTCTAGAGAACTCTAGAATGTTCTCTTCTCTCACTACAACCATGCCATTCTTGGAATAATTCAAAATTTTCAAAAGTAAATTTCTTAAACCCAAAGCAGTTTTAGGAGTCTCAGACATTTGAGTTCCAGGGGAATAGAATATTCTGGAATATTCTTCAATTGCAGATTTTGCACATTACTTTGTTGTAGCTGAATATTTAATTCTTCAAATCCTGATGATGTTAACCTTGGTTTGTTAATCCTGGCTGCAATTTGTGCGTCAGTCTTTAGAGTGATGTCAGTGACTGCCTTTAAACCAGTCTTGCCTTGAGACTTCTGTAGCAGAATACTAAAGTAGTGTAATACCCCAAAATCAATACAGGTAATCCTTGAGGTATGACAGGCCATTTAACGAATGTTCAAAGTTACAATGCACACCTCAGAAGCTAAATATGAATCTGTTTCAGAGTTACAAATTCTGCAGCACCCCCACAGTCATTCACCCTTATGACCGACCACAGAGACGTTGCAGCACCCCCCCTACCCATTTTTCTTCCATTCTGCCCAGCCAGGTCCTCAGAGACACTGGGCCTGCTTTGCCAACATACTAGGTTCCATGCACTCCTCCCCATCCCCACTCCCCCGTCATTATCCGCTTATCTTTTGACGAGCTCAGCAAGTCAGGGTAGAGAAGACCGCTCCCTCGTTGGGCCATATGGGACGATCAAGAAGATGAAATCCAATCACTTTTGCCTCCGTTGTAATCCTTGCCTCTCCAGCCAGCATAAACCACTAGAATTTCTTCTTCGCTCCGTCAGTGCTAGCTTTACACTAGTGGCACCAGCCAGCATTAATTGGTACGATTTCGTCTTAGTGCTGTCAGCTCTAACTTTACTTTAGTCTTACGCTGGTGGGACTAAGAAGAAATGGCAGTGATTTACGCTGGCTGGAGAGGAAAGGCTTCCAAGGAATCTGCCCCCAGAGATCAGGGTGATCCCTGATCTCCCTTCCTTCCGCCGCGCCCTCAAGACGTGGTTGTTCCAGCTAGCGGGACTGGCCTAAGGGATTTTAAAGAGGTTTTAATTACTTTTAATTTGACATATTTAAATATTTCGTTTTAATCAAATTTTAATTAGGTATAATATGTATAATATGTTAGTATTTTATCCAATTGTCAGCCGCCCTGAGTCCGCAAGGAGAAGGGCGGGATATAAATGTAATTAATAAAATAAATAAATAAATAAATAAATATATGCACGGTTTTCTTAGCGCCACCAATGCTAGCTTTACGCTACTCTTAATGCTGGTAGAGCAGAGAATAAATCCCATCTCTTTTGCTCCCATGGCAATCCTTTCCTCCCTGGCCAGGATAGGTTATTACTGATTTACGCTAGCTGGGGAGGAAAGCTTGCAAGGAACCAAAATAGGTGCAATTTCTTCTTAGCGCCACCAGTGTAAAGCTAGCGCTGGCAGAGCTAAGAAAAAATTCTAGTGGTTTATGCTGGCTGAGAGGCAAGGATTGCAATGGAGGCAAAAGTGACTGGATTTCACCTTCTTGCTTGTGCCACGTGGCTCAACGAGGGCGCAGCCTTCTCTACCCTGACTTCCTGAGCTCGTCAAAAGATAAGCGAATAGTGACGGGGGAGTGGGGATGGGGAGGAGTGCATGGAACCCAGTATGTTGGCAAAGCAGGCCCAGCACCTCCGAGGACCTGGCTGGGTAAGTAAGGGTAAGTAAGCAAACAGTGACGGGCTGGGGTATGGAGGAGGCCCATAGGGCTTTCGGGAAACCAAGGGGCAGGAGGCAGAGTATGGGATATCTTAGAGGGTGGGGGAGGCCTCCTGGGAGTGCCTGGCCCTGCACTAGGCCTCCCTCGGTTTCTCCCATCCCTGAGTCACCCCATGCTCGACCTAATGAATGCATTGGGAAAAGCAGGGATAGGGAGGTTGTTAGGTATTTCATTTAATCTAGTCTTTGATGTCCAACATGAATGGGCAGGCTCCATTACTGTCGTAAGTCAAGGACTATCTGTACTACAGATGTCCAGAATGGATACTGCCTCTTTAGGAGAAGCCAAGCAAAACCACAATTACCTTGCTGATTTCATTTGTGATAGAATGTGTATTTAAAGTTGAATACCCTTCTCAAGAGCTGTAGAGCTCCTGTGTTATGTTTGGTATCAATTATAAGAAAAGATTGACTCAGTGCTCTAGATTCTTCCACCACCAGGTACTCGTATTAATTCTTCATTTCTGATAGCAGTGATTCTTCTGAACACAGGCCACATTGTGCTGTACTGACCAAGAAATATGTTAATACAAGGGTCTCCGACCCCAAGTCCGCGATACTGGTCCACAGCCTGTTAGGAACTGGGCCTCACGAGCAATGGGAAGGCAAGCGAAGCGAGCGCATGCATGGGCTCTAGGTTGCATGCAAAACGATTCCCCACCCACCCTCCAGGTCCATGAAAAAATTGTCTTTCACGAAACTGGTTTCTGATGCCAGCAAGGTTGGAACTGCTGTATTAATACATTAGATAGGACAGCTTAGCAACTATTTTTTATAGGATGAGTTATGTGTTGCTCTTTACTTCCTTCAAGAATTCTTGTGCCTGAAGTACTGAACCATTCAACTAATACATGAATGCTGGCAAAAAGTGTTTTCTAGTTTTTATTCTCCATGTTCTAGTTATTGGTGCCATCAGCAGCTTTTGATGGTATTTGTATAGTGTTCCCTTCCACTTTTGCTAATTAAGTCAAGTCTCCCTTGTGTCAAGTTCAACTTCTGATGATTCTATGGAAGCATTAATCTAGATTTCATGCAACAATATAGCAGTAGAGTTTTTGTTGTTGTTGTTGTTGTTGTCTTCCCATTCTAGCCCTGCTGATCCTTTTCAGATAAACCTATCCAACCCTGCTTTTTGAAATCATCCAAGGTTGTCTAAATTCTGCCACCTGTTTGGGCACTTTATCTGATAAATTGTCTCAAATGGTGGATTAATTAAAATCTTATTGGGAACATGGATGGCCTACAACCTGTCTCACGTAGCTTTTAAAGTGATAATTAAAAATATTATTTTAACCAAACTGTTATTTAGCATATAGTCGATCTATGTTCTTAATAAATGAAAACTCTCATTTCATAAAAAAAATAGTCCTATTATAATGGATTGTTATTTATAGTTTCCTTCATTAGAAAACTATCATTTTATTTACGAATGGTATGTGTATTTTTGTGATCCTGGGTCAATACAAGAGCTGCAGGATTTGAGTAGGAATAGTTACTAGTTAGCTACTATGGGGAACCATTTTTCCAACTTTAGTATTCTCAAAAGTATAGTAATACATGCATTCCTACCTTTTATGTTATAGCCTTTGTGAGAACTAGAGTCCATAATTGTTGCTAATATGCCTTTGACCAGAGGAAAATCTTTTTGTGTTTTGTTTGTTTGCACCTCTAGTTAAGATCTGGAAGCAGAAGCTTGAAGAGGAATATAATCCTTACATTCTGGAGCTGGAAAAACTGTCAACCACTGACATGTTGCCCTTGGGTGTTGAGGAGCCTCAGTAAATCAAGACTACCTTCTTTGGCATTATTGACTTTTACTTTATGCGTGTGTGTGAGTGTATATAGACTTGTAAATAGCGAATTATCTAAATTTAATTATCTGTAATCTAGGATATAAAACCCACAGTTGAATTTCTGAGATAATTTAATGCCAAAGAATTCAGAGCTGTTAATTAACTTCCTTTCGAGGGTAGATTCAGTGAAGGTGCTTGGCTCATCCAAATGGAATACAGAATGAGTCAGGAATTGAATCTGGTCTGTTTGTATTTTCATATAGCAATACTGTAAAGAAATCACCTTTAGCTTAATGCCAGACTGTTAAGTCTCTGCTCCGTATAAGCACAGAGTCTCCAATCACTGTTCTCATAATTTCCTATAATTATATCACTTAAGTCTGGATTGATACAAATGAACTGCCTTATACTTGTAAGTGGTATTTTTTTCTCTGTATGATAGAATGTACAACTCTGCATAAAATAGTAATATGAGATGAAAAAAGAGAAGGGAACACCACTGATTTTCTCCCAGACATTATTGTAAATATATATAAAATATGCTAATATATAATGATTCTGTTTGGATATATGCAAATGAGCAAAACAAAAATGCAATACTGCCACCTGGTTTATTTTGTGATGGAGCAATTTGGTGTAGGTCATGGGTGTGTAATTAAAAGATGGTAGAAGCAAAGTGGAATTATTAAATACATGGAGAATAATCATTAATTTATTGGTACTGTATTTTCCTATTCTGTCCCATTATAGAACTTCTGAAGGGCTGCGTACAGCCTTGGAGCCTACAAATATATTTATTGCAAATATCCTGAATGAGGTCCTCTCAACTGTCAACTAAACCTTCAACAGTTTATTAAATATTGATGGTAGATTACAGTCATGTGTGGCATGGTGGCCTAGTGGTGAAGATGCTCATCTCCCAATCCTAGGTCGCGGCAGATATTTCTCTCCTAGGGTGCAAAGAAAAAAATATCTGCTGTAAACTTCACGTGGTGTTAGGGAGAGCATCCAACCAGTAAAATGCTCAGCTCCATCGCCCTGACTCTACCCCAGATTAAGGGATTACAGGTTTGTAAAAGGGAGCTTGGTGGTAGATTATAGTCAATAGATACAGAAAAGGTTCATCGTAAGATAGCTTACTTTTTGTATACAGAGTAATTTCTTTGTTAATGGCTATCTTTAGAAAGATAGCAGGATTCTGTTGTGCAGAAAGAGGGCAGCAGTGCAAGACAAGAAGCAGGCGATGGGAAATGACCGAGTTTACTAAGCATTCTTTTCTACAGTTTTGCTCATATATCCATCATAAAGGCACAATTTAATCTAGCAGAGAGAGAAAATGTGAAGGGTCATTGTGTGAGCAGCTGCCGGTTGCATGAGGAGAGCTTTGCGTGTGTGCATGTGCTCACCCGCCACTTGCGCAGCCCGGTTCCAAACAGGTCACACAGCAGCTGAGGACCCCTGTTCTAGGATGTAAAAAAAAAAAAAAATCCAGTCTTTTGTAGTAGCTTTCCAGACCCCAAGTAAACTTAGAAGCTGGAAAGAGGTTAGCCTGATCTATCAGCATAATTTTGTTTTCTCCAACGGAGCCAGAGGTTTGGTTTTAACCAGCAGAACCAATTGTGTGGGAATTCGACACCCCTTGCTCAGAAGATTTAGCCATTTTTATTTTTGCCAGAGGGATATGGAGGAGAATTCCATTTTGGACCATTTTATGATAAGCTTTCCAATATTTCTGTGTCTCGAGACAACTGAATAATTGTACAGCTGTAAAACAAGTTTGTTTGCAGTATGCCTCTTATATTGCAAAAAAATGTTTGCACTAAAATAACATCAGGTATTGATGCTATTACTGGGCAGTTTCAGAGAGAAAATGCTGCTTTGCTTATGTACTTTTGTGTGCCTTTTAAAAAGTGTGGAAATTTTTCACTGTAATTTTCGTAACATTCCAGTCATACTTGCGATTTACTAACCTAGGTGTGATTTCCAAATGCTATTTGCTCCTTTATTAGTGATTACATTCGATAAGTACTGATAAGGGAATTCGGTTAAAGTTTTTATATCTTCCTTTATCTGCATAAAATACAGATATATAGGTGCTTGGTTCAACAAAAACTGATATAATAAAAATCTTTCTTTATTATCAATGCAGGGTATTGGGGCAAGTTGTCTTTTGCCAAGGAATGCACTTAACATTTTTAAAGAACAGTGGGTTTTTTCATTGTTCATCAAATTTTGAAAACATATCTTTCTTACTTAAAAAGTTGTCAGGGTTTTAGTAACAGTTTTATGTTTTAATGTGCCTGAAACTGCACCACTAATTTTGAACAATTGTGGTTGGATGCAAAAAAAAAAAGAGAACTGGAGGTCGTCTGTAAGCTACCTCGATCTATAATAAAATATCTTAAAAGTCACTGCTGTGTGTTATAACACTGGAGATAGCATAAGATAGCTCGAACTTTGGTTTGTAGTATTTTTCTAGTCAGAAACATTTTCTACATTTCCTAGCAAATGAAAGTTATCATTTCTGGCATTATTTAAGGTAGTTTTCTATTCTATAGCAAGAAGTTGGGAATTTTCATTGGGTTCTCTGTATATTGAAATATGTAGTTTTGAAGATGGAATGGGGGAACAGGAAAACCCTTCATCTTAGCATGGGTCCAGAATGGGGCTAGCATGTGTGCCTCAATGATTTGGTAAGATTACTGATAATTGGGAATATTGTAATTTACCTTGTGGCATCACTATGAATTTCTGCATATTCTGTAAGAATTCTGCGAATTCTGCTAACAGAAATTTAAAACCCAGGGAAGCAGATTTCATTTTGTTTGACTTGAGTGGATGACTTGATTTAATATGTGGTTGTATTCCACACATCCATAGAAGACTGATCACACAGTATGTTTTAGCAACTCTTCTACCAGGTTTCCAAGTGAAGTTTGTAAACTGAAGCAAAGTGTTTTGCATGTGAATTAGCGTAACTTAGCTCTGAGCAAGATAATTGTGCAATTTTAGCTAGTCGTACTCCATCTTCACCTTTAGGTATAGTGTAGTTGTGGCAGTTACGGAGTTTTCATTTACTTTCTCAAAATATATATTTAACTGTTAAAAGAAAACTGTTTTGTATTACTTGATTCAGCAGATCAGTCATTTTAGGCTTCAGAATGACAACGTGATTACAAAAATCCACTTAAAGAAATAATTGAATGTTTCAGAGGTTATTTGCAGGCATAATCCATTTTCCTCAAAGTGTCCCACAGGCAAGTAACCAACTAAAGTGAAAGAACTACCTTGCCTGAATTATATTGTGTTAATAAATATATAGTGCAGTGAAATTCCATGTACTTCACAGTTAGCCCAGCTGGAATTGTTCTTTTGAATAGGCAAAAACCAAAGTCATTGGTCATGGAATTCATTAAATATCAGGTAATGCAGTCATGCACATCATGTAACATTGTTTTTCTTTTTCTCAGCATGGGGATATTTACCGAGTACTTGATAGCAGCACTTCAGTACACACTGTTCATATCAGCTGGTAAAGCAACAGGCTATTTTCACTGCTGTCTTCTGCTCTAGAATGATTGATGCACAGGTCATACCTGATCTAGTTCGATGTCAGAGTATCTTTTTCAAGAACAATTTTAGCATCTCACACTGTGCCATTTTTGTTGCAACTGTCCTAAACAAATATGAACCAGAAGAAGCCTTTTAATTATAATGAGTCAATATACAGTAATAAATTTAATAGCTTGTCCCTGAGCTTGCTGATCATAAATCTTACTTTCTACATGGAATTAAGAGTTTGCATGTTGACCTCAAATTCTCAATTTCAGTTCAGTCTTTATTATAGTCACGGACCACTACAGCAACTTCTCAATAAACTGGTAAGTATGCAATTCATAAAAGTGCACTTTGAACTACTACAGTCATATTAGATTGCTGCGGGTCCTTTGAATTGGCTCTGTGAGCATTCTGGAATAAGGATTTTATGATGAAAGTGAGCTAACAATATGGGGTTTCTTCAGTGCATTTGCTGCTTTTGGCAATATGAATACGGTGGGAGTGCCTAAGGGTGAATCATGAAAGTACAAGAAAGATGATCTGGATATAGAAAAACATCCGAACTATCTCTAGCAATTGCCAATGTGGCAATTGAGAAAAGTTACAGGTTGGTTTGCCAGGTTTCAAACTAACTAATATGAATTTAGAAGTGGTAACTGAGCAGCCCAAGACTTCCCAAATAAGATTGTACTTTGTGACTTGCAGTGTTTCTGTTTTGTGGCAAAAATGCTAACAGGGCTGCACTAAGACAGTTCTGACCATTTCTTCTAGGCACCCTGCAAAAATGAAATGCCCTTCCTTCATCTAAACAAAATGCAAATCCACCTGCCCTGTAGGTAACACCTACCAATGTATTTTTCCAATTTTCCAACAGTTTCTCATGATCACCAATAACACTTCTCCAGCTAGCAAACTCTCTTGACCAGGTGTCTTGATAGTTGCTACCTAAAAATAGTAAGCAATGGAGGGAGGGATTTGGGTTAGGTGCTTATTAAACACTCAAAATATTTATATTTTTTAAAATTATATAATCTGTTCCCTTATAAAGATCTAGGGCAAAGCATATGATGCTATGAAAATATTTAACATTTACATAGCAGTTCAAATAATCGACTAGCAAGGATGTTGCTTATTTTGTAAGCTTTATTTAGATAAAAAGGGAGTTATCTAAAAGCAACTTAGTATATTGTGCAATAGCATTGATAGAAAAATATTTCTAGGTAGAGCCCAGGCACCCACACGTGCTCATTTCAGCATTTTTATTTTGTGTTAAATTATCCGGAGGCTGCCAAGTTTTCTTCTGCCTCAGCAACAATGCAGCTGCATCCTTTAACCACAACTGCTAATTTTGCATAGATGCTAATTTGCTCGTGTTGGAACAAGTCAGCATTCTTGACTTCATTAATCTGTGTATTCCAGCTAGGTCCCCTTTAAGTTACCTGAAATGAGCAGCCAAGCTAGCCCATTAGGTTTACTCAGCTCATGACTTTATGCTTCGGGGCTCTTTGTGAGTAGCATTGGTTTTAGAGCTCTGTGTGACATCTTGAAATCTGGAGGAAAAAAAAGTCACTGCCCAACAGAGACCCGTTACCTTCTACAGTGATAGAAGAGGTAGAAGCTTTGTTCCCAGATTTTGAGATCAGCAGGCAAGTGTATTCTGAATTGTGTGCTATGGCATCTTTCACCCAGCTTAAGAGATGCACTCGCCCATTGGACAGCACGTGGGTTTGCTCTTTCACACAGTTTGCCATTTTTTGCCCATTTCTTTTCCATACAAAATGTGCGTCTCTGGACCCTGTGGAAAAGTGGTCAGTCATACAACTAGGACAAATGCAAACTCAAAGATATTGCAAAGTCTCCCTGGAACAGGCGGATACTCTATATTTTTGCACCTTCTAGAAATCCTGAGATCTTCCAAACCAAAGTCTAGTGAAAAATCGGTAAAAGAAACACTGTTTCCCAGATATTTTGGGGATTAACTGAACATCCAATGGAAATGCCCTTGCCGCCCTTCACTCACCTGCATGATGTCATAATCCCATTGGCATGCCTTCTGCACTCATTATCTTCTAGATTTCTTAAAAACAGCTTTGAAAGGTTAGGGTTAGGTCCAAGCTTATTTCATTAGTTGAACTATAACTGGAAAGTATTTTTCCCCTCTGGAAACCAGTTGCTCCATAAACTGACAGGAGCCACCATCCAAAAGCCATAATTCGATGGTGCTTCCCTTAACACTCAACAGCTTTCCACTGTTATCATCTGAAGACTTCAGTTTAGCTGTAAGCATTCTTTCTCCCGATCATTTCTTGAGCCCTTCAATTGAGATAATATAATAGACGTATATCCTACCTTTAATCCAAGAGC